GGGGGTGGGGTGGGGAGTGCAGGCAGAAAGGGAGCTTTGGTGGCAGAGGAGGGGGGTGGACGTTTTATTGACTTCCTCTTAATTGCTGTAATTAAAAACATGTAAAGAATCTTTTTGTAACGACTTTGCCATTATCATTAGTTGTTAGCACAGCTGCCTTATTAATTTCTCGCTAGAACCCAATTCACAGTCCTCTTTGGGAAGGGGGGTGGGAGCCAGAGGTGGGTCTTGCCTGGCCCAGTCCCGGAAGGGGCCTGGAAGGGCAGCATCACTGGGAACCGGCTGCCTGGAGCCCCCAGGGCAAAGCCTTCTGCCCCCCACCCCGGGATGCAGAAACCCACCAGGAGAGATGGAGGGGTCCAGAGAAGCAGTCATTGCCTTCCCATCCTTAGACCTGTGGGCATCTGTGTGACTGTACAAGAGACAGGTGGCCAGACAGACAGATGCAGGAGGTCTGCAGGGCACACAGCGGGGAGAGCCCCTGGACTGGGACTGGGTGAGCAAGATGGAAGGTTTATGGAGACGCTGCTATCGGCGTCCTGTGAGTGCACGTTGAGTACCTGAGGGGGAGTGCCTCCTTCAATTTTGCATCCTCCATGCCTCACTTGCCCTACCCTAGCCCCAGCTCCGGAGAGCAGACGTGGTGGCTAGGCCAGAGTGAGAAAGGTGAGTTTATTCCAGGACGCAGAGGGGAGAGGAAGCAAAAGCACAGAGAAGTTAAGCAACTTGCCCAAGGTCACACAGGTAGGGAGAGGTGAGCCTGAATTTGAATGGGAGGGGGGCGGGGGGGACGGTTCATGGCTAGACCCTGCAGTGTCCTGACAGCGAGGCAGGAGAAGGTGGAAGGTAGAAATGCTGGCTGTGGGACCTTGGGCTGTCCTCTACCTTTTCTGAGGCTCAATTTCCCCATCTCGAGATGTGGTTTGTACCACATGCCTTCCTGCCTCTCAGACTTGTCCTGGGAACCCACGGAGGAAAGACAGGCACACAGTTACACTGAAGGAGGGATCCTTCTGGAGGCTCTGCCGTATCTCCTCTGGCATCTCCCGAGGGAATCTGCGTCTGTTCCAAAAGGTCTTGGGGCACGTGCTCACCTTTCCAGGAGGATGCAGGCCATACTTCTTCCTTTGTCTGCCCCCCTCCCACCCCCCCGCATGCATACACCAGGTGCCCAGAGTCCTAAGCTACTCAGTGCCGAGGCTGGAGCTGGAAGCCACACTTCCTGAGCCCCCTTCCCCGCCATGGCATGGCCATGTTTTAGGCACAAAAGAACCCAGGAATTACTTGTAAGCATTTTCATCTGCTCGCCTCTGCTGACAGCCAAGAAGAGCACGTCACCCCCACCCCGTGGTGGGAGATGGCGTCCATCCTAGGTAGACACAGCATCCGTTTGCGGCGTTATCTGGACATGGGACAGTACAGTCCAGAGCACCCACCGGGTTCCCTGGGAACCCTGACCTCAGCAGCTAACCCCCTCTCTCCCCACCCCCACCCCATTTTGATTTTTCTATTCCTGACCTTAGATGGCAGTGTGGCAAGGGGGGTGTTTTGGAATCGGGCAGCTGTGGGTTCAACTCCTGCTCTGGTACTTCATCACTGTGTGACTTAGGCAGCCTTGTGGGATAAGGACGGGAGAGAATGGTGCGCACTGCCCAGCAACAGGTGGGAAAGAGCGAGGTGGGTGGGGGTGGTTTTGCTAGGTCCCCCTTTCCCCAAACCCAGGACCCTGGAAGGTGTTTTGAGGGGTTGGGGGACAGGTTGGACAGCAAATTCTTCAACTTCCATAACTAGAGAGAGAGAGAGACCCCCTCAGATGAGACAAGTGTGTCCAGCAAGGGAGGGGATGGGGAGGTGAGTTTCCCTTCTCCATCCCGCCATGGCCACCGGAGTGGGGTGAAACCATCATTAACTTGTCAGGATGAGTGTTTTTCTCAACTGCCCACTGGAGTCCCAGGGCTCCCCTCACTCCTCTGGCTTGAGGTCCAAAGGGCTGCAAGTAGTGACTTCTCCTTTCGGATGCTATGGAGCAAGGCGTCTCGGTGCGGTTTGAGGAGCGGTTCTCGGGGCTGGCCTGGGGGCTGCAGCTGGTGGTCAGGAATGGGGTGAACCTGGGCCTCCCCACTGCGTTCGGTCCTTCGGGCCCTTCCAGGTACGCCCTGCTCTCTGCCAGGGACCACCTGTAGCCACGTGGGCACAGCTAAGCAGCAGCCCCATAGAACCTGGTGGCAGCAACAGTTGTGACCATGTCCAGAGGCCCCTGAAGCCCGGGCTGACACGTGGCTTTGAGGGGGTGGGGACGCCCCTGTGAGAGGCAGGTGAGGGGCAGACACTGGGCTGACTGCAAGGCCTAGGTGTGACCGTCAGCTCACTGCTCTGCATTTGGCCAGAACAGTGTGTGCCAGGAGCCCTTCCGTTCTGTGGCCTGTTTCTTCTGGCCTTAGCACGATGCTACAGAATATTAATTGCAGCAGTAACTCTCACTGACTGGGCAGGCACTGGCTAGGTGCGCTGGGCACATGAGCTCAAGGAATTCTCTGGACGAGCCTAGACTGTCGGGGACATTGTGTCCTGGATGGCATTTCCAACTGCATGCACACCGACATACACACCTATGTTACCGCCAGCGTCAAGGTGAGCAAAGAAGGCAGACCAACCTAGGCACGCACATTTGCATGCATACAAGCACACACATCTATGGATACGTGCACACGTGTTCTCTCCCACATGCGGGGGACAAAGCAGCAGACTGATGCACACACACACACTCGCACACACGCGCATGAACCCACACTCACGCACGCACACTTGCACACACACACACACACACACACATACGCATGCACGCACAGTCTCTGGAGGCTGGCCCGTGGCTCTGCCCCTGCCCCGCGGGACTCTGGGCACTGGCTAAATGAAGCTCCCCGGGAGCTCTCCAGCCGCTGACAGTGCCCTGATCCATCATTTTAATTCAGGGCTTTTCTGCTCCTCTGAGTGAGCTGAGTTGCCTTTAATGCTGATTTATGGAGACAATCCGTCCTCCACTTTTGATTACAGTTGTTTTCCATAATTATTATCAACACTCTCTGCCTCGCTTGAGGTTTCCTTTTAGATTTCTCTCCCCTACTTCTGTTCAAGTTACAAGCTCTCTCCTGTGCTAATTCAGAGGCGAGCCCCTGTAGGCTCTGGATGAGAAGGTGTCTTTTTTTTTTTTTTCTCTTAAATTTCAAGGCTCACTAAAGCTTTCCACACTCCGTGTCCCACTGTGCCACCTTGGACCTCTGCCCCTGGAAGAACCCAGAATGAAACAGCCCATAATGAGGCTCATTTCTAGCACACAGCAGCTATTTTAGGATGGGAGGTAGGACTGAGAAGGGGATGCTGAGTCTCAGGGGGAGGGTGTTGATTGGTGCTCTGGGGCCCCGGCCCCTGAGATGCACTTGGGATCTTCTGAAGCTGCCTTCCCTCCTTCCGTTTGAGAAAGTCCTTCTGGGGACTGGGGGAGGGACTTACAGGGGCCTACACTTAACTGTCTGCTCACCTGGCTCCTCCAGGAACCCAGACTCGTCACCCCCGCCCCTCCCTCTTAGGGTCATGGTGCCACCATGAGGCATCTCCCAACGACTCCGCGGATCAGGGGACCCGCTTGCTGTTACTGCTCCAGCACTGAGCGAGTTGGAGGATGGAAAGGTTAAGGTCATGGGGGGCACCAGGAAGTCTGAGGAGAAGAGTGTCATAGCTGGAGAGATTCAGGTGGGCCATCATGAAGACCCCCAAGTGTGAGGCCCAGCCAACCCCAGAGGAGGCCCTTGAACCGGGTGATAGGGCCCCCTTTTAAAAGAGAAGCAGCTGGAGCGAAATAAGTCAAAGAGAGAAAGACATGTATCATATGATCTCACTGATATGAGGAATTCTTTTTTTTTTT